CTATCAAATCCCCCCTTACTCTTCTCTTCTGCAGACTAAATAACCCCAGTTCCCTCAGCCTCTCCTCGTAAGTCATGAGCCCCAGACCCCTAATCATTTTCTTTGTCCTCCCCTGGACTCTCTCCAATTTGTCCACATCCCTTCTGTAGTGGGGGGACCAAAACTGGACGCAATACTCCAGGTGTGGCTTTACCAGTGCTGAATAGAGGGAAATAATCACTTCCCTCGATCAGCTGGCAATGCTCCTACTAATACAGCCCTACTAATATGAGGGCTGGATCTTCCAAAATCTAGTGATGGATTTTCATTAATTTGTAACAAAATTTGAATGCTCAGAGAGCTTATTTAAATACATTTATAATGAGATTCAAACTGCTACTGACCCATATCAGAAATCTATTTAGTTGAGGTGGAGACTGTGCATTGTGTGACCCTCTGCCCCTTTTTGCCTTTGCCGTGCTCTAACAGCAGTTTCTGATTTAGCATTGTGTTGCTTTTCAAAGATGCTGCAGTGCAGCGCAACAGAAAAGCGTCTTTTCTGAGTGTTTGGGAGGCTTTGGTCTCATCATGCAATAAACATCCTGTACTTAAAGTGTCCTTTTAAGGCCACCATATCTTGAGAACCCCAGCACTATTTGAAATTTGACTGTGTGTTGAGTAGGCATCTGAATCTCTGTCAATAGGAGAGCCTTAACTTTGAACCTGTGTGTCTGTATTTACTTCAGCAAGAAACTATTTATCCCAGTGAAGGGGGGATACAACTTTCTGTTCTACCTGCTAAGCTGACCAGTGTGTTCATGCTTCAGAGTCACTGCTTACCCCCTGCGGGATATCCAAACAACCTCCCTCTGTCAATCTGTGCTTTTTGTGACTGCCCCAGGGATTTGCTCTGACAGTGGCATTTATGTTCATGTAGTTGGGATTAAATCACCTCAAGGAAAGAGAAACCTTAGGTCTGGGACTTTGTTGTTCAGACCTTCAGTAACTGAATCTTCTGAAACTTGCACGATGGGATTTCAGAATTGTCTGTCTATAAAAAGATTTCATCCTGCTGTCTTTTCCAGTGCAAATTGTGGCTATTGTTTGGATAAGACTATCTCCGTGACCATGTCCATGGGTCCAGTTATGCTTATTGGGGAAGCTTTGTCCTAGCATTCTAGCGTGTGCATGCACTTAACCGCTAGAGCTACTACAGGCACATTGAGAGGCTGTTCATGTTTTGCTATTTTGGGGTGCGTTGTTACTTACTGACAATAGTCACCAAACAACAACTAGAAGAAAGACACTATTGGTACATGGCCTGAACCAAAGGATATTGAGGTAAATTAATGCTCCCCATAGACTTTCTCAAACTCACATGCAGTACCCAACAGTAGGCAATGGAAAACAATAAAGTATCAAAGTACATAATAAAAACCTGCTAATGTTATCCACATATCTCCATTTTTTTATAGAAACATAGGAATTGCCAAATTAGATCAGACCTGAGTTCCATCTAGTTCAGTATCATGTCTCTGCAATGGTCAGCACCAACTGCTTCAGAGAAGGTGTAGTAGACAGATGTGTGATAATCTGCCCCTAGGAATCTGATCCTCATAATCAGAGTTTGATTTACATCCTGGACCATGTGATTTTACATCCTTCCAAAGTTGTTAGCATTAACTATTATATCTGTGTTATCCATCTAACTATCCATCCCTTTTCTGAATCTTCCTAAGTTCTTGGCCTCAGAAATACCTTATGGCAATGAGTTCTATAGTCTAATTATGCATTGTTTGCAAAAATATCTCTTTTATAATTTTTGAAGTTGACACCTTTTAATTTCATTGAATGTCCCCTCATTCTTGAGTAATGAGACAGATAGAGTAGAATGTCCCAACCTACCTTCTCTAAACTATCATTATTTTACATACTTCTATTGTGCCCCCATTTGTTTGTCTCCTTCCTAAGGCAGACAAGCACAGTCTTTTCAGTGTCTCTTCATTTGAGAGATTTTCTATACCCCTAATCAATTTCATCATCTGCCTTTTGAACCACTCTAATTCTGAAATATTATTTTGAGATGGGTTGACCAGTACTGTGTAGCACATTCCAGAAGAGGCCCAAACATTGATTTATATATTATCTTTATAATAATTTCTGTATTATTCTCCACACTGTTCCTTATGCATCCTAACATTTTTCATGTTTGCTTTTTTGACTAGCAAGTAACATATTGAGCTGTCCACAGTGGTCCCTTTCCTATGTGGACACAGTTCATTTAGAACCCTGCAAGATTTTATCCCTCCAAATTTTATTATTTTGCATTTATCATCACTGTACTTTATCTGCCATTGTGTTGGCGATTCACCTAGCTTGGCTAATTCCTTGAAGTCCCTCAGTCATCTCTAAACTTGACTAACCTAAATACATTTGTGTCATCTGTAACTTTTGTTACCTCACTACTCATTCCCCTTTATGGAACTCTAATAAATATATTGAAACATCACTGGTATGGAACCTCGATGCACCCTGCTGTTAAACTTCTGTCATGATGAAAATTGACTATTTATTCCTACACTTTGCTTCCTGTCTTACCCCCCTTTTTTTTTGAACCATGACAATACTTTGCCCCATGACAACTTAATTTCTTTGGCAGACTCTAGTGAGGAACATTGTCGAACCCTCTTTGAAAGCCCTGATAAATTATGGCAACTGATTCTCCTTTAATATGCTATACCTTAAAGAAGTAATAAAACTGCCTTACAATGGATATTGTATTTGTTAGCCAATGAATCCCTTAAGTAATTTAAAGGGATTATTGTAATGACTTAGGTAAAAAATAAATTAAAATAATAAAACCCAAAAGACAATTAAAATAAATCTGTTTGACTGTTCTCAATAGCCCCTAGTGATACAATTACCTGAATGTGGCTCAGAATAGGTTTCTCTCTGAACTGCCAGGATATTAAAGGTTTTATACAGGTTTTTATTAGAGCTGTGGCTTGCCCAAGTGTCCATGTTTAAAATATCATCTTCCCCTCCTGCTATGCAGTATACCTTATGCAACTAAGATGGTAGCCTCCAACCCAAAGGTAAGTCCATAGTGTTACATATACATAATGCAGTCTGTTAAGTGCTCAGGAATCTTTTGGGGGTGAAAAGCACTGGGTAAAAAAACACACATATATATATATATTCCAATAAACACCCATGGCCTGTGTTATCCAGGAGGTCAAAGCAGAAGGGCACAATGGTTGCTTCTGACCTTCAAAACTATAAACACATACACAAGCCCATCTTGTCTCTTCAGTTTATTTTATTCATTTCGGATGTTGCACACAGTTAGTTTGTAATTATTGGAGGCTGATTCTATTCTAACTTACACCCATTTTATATCAGTGTAATTCCATTGATTTCAGTGTTTATGTGAAATAAGTGCCAGACCGATTACATTGCAGACATTTCCTCCTCATTCAACAAGAATTATATTTGTATAAGATCTGGAGGTTCTTTTGGAAAACTCTAGAATATTTAAATATTATGGGATTGGCTTTCAGAGGTGCTCAGCAGCTGCAACGCCAACTGACTTCAAAGGAAGCTGCCCTTCTGAAAGTCAAGCCTTAAGAGTAAGTGGCACTTGCATTCAATTGCTGTATCTTTTACTGAAGATGAATTGAAAAAGAAAAATAACTCCACAACTTTTTTTGTGCATTTTAAAGGGGTAAGGCAACTGACAAGGTCATCTTACGTCTACCCCAAATGTATTTAAGGAACCATATTTTGTAATTGTAAACAAAATATGAGCTTTGCACTATTTGTTTTCCCACATTTGTCCAGTACTGGTGGTGAAGACAATGCTGTGAACAACTCACTAGAATTACAGATCATGATATGAGTAAATGCAAAAAACAATATCTGTGAAAGATGACAAGCAGGCAATCACTTACAGTCTGTGCTGATCATTTCTTCTTCAGACTTTGAAGGGTTTAAAATAAAAAGCAGCCATCCAAATAAAAATATAATATCTTCAAAGGCCAATACATTGAAAATATATTTCTGCTTTTAACATTATACATTGGATGCATAATTGTCTCAAAACTACCAAGTACTGTAATAGCAAAGCAGATTTTCTAGATAAGGGATTTTTATTTATTTTATTTTGCTGCTGATAATGCACTTGTTTGCTTCAGTTGTTTTTATTACATACCCTTGACAAGGTATTGTGTCCTGATCTGTGATCCTTGACTCTTCTAGTTGTTGATATGCTGGTCCTGTAATTCCATTGAACCTACCCCGAGGTAAGGGTGGAGTCTTCCGAAAGGCATTCTTGTGTAGCATTCCACTTCTTTGTCCTGGGCTGCAGCATGAAGAGAGAGTTCTGGGGACAAGAACAAGAGTACAGTAAAAACTACCAGAGCCCCCAACATACAAATGTATAGAGTAAAGATTACAGAATTAATAATACATGGACTGCAGTATTATAAATTTGCTGCGGTAGTTTGTGATGTCAGCAGTCGTTCTCCATGGAAATATAATGCTGTAATTCTTACTTGGCTTTTTATTCCATATTTAAATTTCAGTCTCTCCTGGAAGAATAGAAATAAATGATTGGTACATTGGAAATTCTCTTGTATTTGGTCAGCTGTCCTGTTCCATCACCATCATCCTGGTACTTAGGGTCAGATCCTCAGCTGTTGATCTGGACCTTAAGTTTTAGGCGTATCTACTAACACTGCTTTATCAACCTGCACTGTACATTTTTTGTAACAATAAGTTGTACTTTTTTTTATTGTGGTAAGGTTGCACAAAATTAGAGTAATTTTAAAATATGTTTTACCTATTTCAGAAAAGTGCCACCTTTTGAAAATTCTATTTATATTTTAAGGGAGCTAGGAATTATTTCCATTTACTGCAGGAATCATAAGGGATCTGGAATCCACATAACATTATTTTACGTTACAGTTGAATTCAGTTGCTGCTAATGCAAAAGTAAGGAAACAGATGACTAAGCCAAAATCATAACCTATTTCTATCATTAACTGGTTACAAAGGTGCATAGCATTGCTGAATTGTTTGTTTTACAGCTATTCTTCTTTTGCAGTATGTCATCTGCGCATTTCCTTTATTATCTATTAGTCTGTGGCATAATCTTAATGATAAAGCATAGAGTCAAATATAGTAAAAATCTTAAATGAATCAAACAGTACCATAGAATCTCTATTGATAGAAATTACATGCTTGAATAATAAGAGTATAGCAATAGAAATGTACTACCAACCACCTGACCAGGATGGTGATGGTGATTGTGAAAGGCTCAAGGAGATGAGAGAGGCTACAGAAAACCCAATAATAATGGGGGATTTCAACTATCACCATATTGACTTCGTATATGTCACCTCAGGATGGGACACAGAGATAAAATTTCTAGCATTAACAAATGCTTCTTGGAGCAGCTAGTCCTGGAACCCATGAGCAACAATAAAGTAATTAAAATTAACATCCTTGTAGGGGGTGAAATACCAAAGAAACCCACCACAGTAGCATTTAACTTCAAAAAGGCGAACTACACAAACATGAGAAAGGTAATTAAATAGAAATTAAAATGCACAAGAGTGAAGTGTTTGAAAGCTGCATGATTTTTTTTTAAATCATAACTAAATATTTACAAGAAAGAAAGAAAGAAAGAAAGAAAGAAAGAAAGAAAGAAAGAAAGAGAAACAGCAGCAGCAGCAGCAAGAAGACCAAAAATGCCACCATGGCTAAACAGGTGAGTAAAAGAGGCAGTTAGAGATAAAAAAACATCCTTTAAGAAATGGAAAATTCTCCTGGAAAAATAGAAAGGAGCATAAACTCTGGCTAGTCAAGTATAAAAGTATAATTAGGCAGTCCAAAGATGTCTGCAAAAAGTTACAAAGGAATCTCACAAAACTTGGTGACTGGACAAGAAAATGACAGAGGAAATTCAATGCTGATAAATGCAAAGCAATGCATGTTGGAAAACATAATACTTACTATACATGCACAATGATGGAGTCTAAACCAGCTGTCATGACTCAAGAAAGAGATCTTGAAGTCATTGTGGATAGTTCCCTGAAAACAGCTGCTCAATATGCAATAGCAGTCAAAAAATCTAATAGAATATTGGGAACCATTAGGAAAGGGGAAAAAATAAGTCAGAAAATAGCATGATGCCACTATATAAATCCATGGTATGCCCACACCTTAAATACCGCAAGCAGTCACCCCATCTCAAAAAAAGTATATTAGAATTGGAAAAGGTACAGAGAAGGGCAACAAAAATGATTAGGGGTATGGAACAGCTTCCATAGGAGGAGAGATTAAAAAAACTGGGACTGTTCATCTTGGAAAAGAGACTAAAGGGGAATAGGAAAGAGATGAAGAAAGTGCCTATGAAAATGGATATGATGTGGAGAAAGTGCATAAGAAAGTGTGATTCATTCCCTTCCCATAACACAAATGTGACACTCTGCATCCCATAGTCACTATAGTGATATGATTATGATATGTATAATATAATTATGATGCATCTTGTACAAAGTATGCCTTGTGAGATGTCTTTTTAAAAGTCTTAATCTGTTAATTTGTATGTACTATCATCGTATAGGAAGTTATGAAGTTTTGCTATGTATGTGCCACTGAAACATGTGAGATTGGGAACACCCACAAGCAGCCTTTCAGGTACAATAATAAAAAGACCAAACAACGATGATGGCTCATTGAGGAAAATACAAAACACTCACAAGGATTACCCCCGAAACTGTGTACAATGGAAACCTCTCAGAGATAGCATGTACCCAATGGAGACTGATTGACTCATGTCACAGCAAAACATTTTTCCAGCAAACAGGAAGAAGATATAAAAGGGGAAGTGATAGCATCAATTGGCCTTACTCCCCTTACAACACAACACCTGAGGGACAAAAACTGAACTGGGGGAACGAGGGTACCAGGCGAGACAGAAGAATTCCTGCCTGTATATAGGGTGACCAGATGTCCCGATTTTATAGGGACAGTCCCGATTTTGGGGTCTTTTTCTTATATAGGCTCCTATTACCCCCCACCCTTGTCCCGATTTTTCACATTTGCTGTCTGGTCACCCTACCTGTATATGCAAAAGCGATAACCTGCTTATACTAGCTAACAGGCTGAGGCACTGCTTGATTCAAATACTATCTAGTTTATAAAGCTTAGATTGTGTTTTTGTTTATTTTTTAGGTAATCTGCTTTGATCTGCAGGCTCACTGCTTATAATCACTTAAAAACTATCTTTCTGTAGTTAATACATGTGGGGGGGGATGGGTGGACTCGGTAATAAACTTATATTGGTCAGGCTTTTGACCACAGCGAGACAGTACGGCTTTGGGGTCCTAGGCTGTGGAGGAGCCTTCATGTGACTGCAGCTGGGTGTGTCCCTGCCTGTGTAAAGGTTTGTGTGAGTGCAGGACTGGGAGAGATCTGCAGCTTGTCAAGGCAAAACAGTGTAACAGGGATCCCAGTCTTCTGAGACAGAGGGCTCAGTGGTACCCCAGTTCCAGGTTGCACCCTGGGGGGAGGAATCACAGCAAGAATCAGGGGACACCCAATGAAATTAATAGGCAACAGGTTTAAAACAATCAGAAGGAAGTACTACTTCACACAATGCACAGTCAACCTGTGGAAACTCATTGTTAGGGAATATTGTGAAGGCCAAAATTATAACTGGTTTTGAAAAAGAATTACATAAATTCATGAAGAATAGGTCCATCAATGGCTATTAGCCAAGATGGTCAGAAATGCAACCCCATGTTCCAGGTGTCCCTAATCCTTTGACAATCAGAATCTGGGACTGGATAACAGGGCAGTTCATTCCCTCACAAGTGTCTGGCATTGGCCATGGTTGGAAGACCGAATACTGGGCTAGATGGATCATTGGTCTGATCCAGTATGGCTATTCTTATATTTTAATATAGTTTTTGTGTGTGCATATATTTGTAAGAAGGGTTACCTTTGATTACATGCATAAACCCAGTCTCTGTTGCAATCCAGTCAACTACTGATGTGTTTATTCTTCCTTTCACAGTACTTGCATTAAAAGTGGGCTTCATTTTGTACGAAATGTGATCTTTATTTGTTGCTAGGGCCACACTTCCTTCCTAAGCAGTTCCCACCTGGACTAAGTATCTTGGACAGACTCCCTGGGCCATACGCTCTACCTTCAAAATCAACTTTTTCTCCCTGAAATAAAACAGATGTTGCCTCCTAAAGTCATCTGTCCTGTTTTCTCTTCAAATACTCTGTCCCCATTCTTCACAAACATCCTATATTGTTCTCCATCCCAGACCCTGCCACACTTTTAACTTTTTAATTGGAAAGATCAATAACCTGTAGTGATAGTGAGGGGTTTTCAATGACCTCTTTAAATTCATTTTTCCTTAGCTGTTTAGAACTCTAGAGAAACATTTTTTTTAAAAAGAGTGTTGTGTGGGTTGAAGTACTATACTTTTGATTCTAAAGACTGGGGTTTAGCTCTTGAAATATATTCTCTGAGAAATGAGTTTTATGACTTCAGCCTCCTCCTTTGTGAAAATGTATTCACCTTACAACACCACAAAACAATCAACAATCTGTTCTTGGATTCCGAGGAGGGAGTCTGAAAAGGAGCAGTTGACTGAATAATACATAGTGGATAATTAACTCTTCTACTTTTACTGCTTGTGGAATATCCACAATCATATTACATTGTCCACAAATTTATTTATTATTTTTAACTCTTTGTGGAATATTTTATTCTCCAAATTGATCTCAGATATTTGAAATGCGGGCTGTATCACTTAGTAGTGAGTGATCTCATAAGTCACATAGTATTTTTTCTCTTCTCTGATTGGGTGAGAATGCAGGATTTTCCACACGAAGACCTGCATATGAAAAATTAACATTTTGTTTCTGGGAATGTTTTCAAATGTGCATGTGAAATTTTCTTTCCTAGTACATTTTTGCCAGTAAAAGTTGACTGATAAAGTCTTTATGCACAAAAAATGAATGTGAATACAGGAAACGCAAATTCATTAACAAATTCCATCAAATATTTGCAGAAAATTATTTACATTAGCTGCCACATTGTTGCTGTAGGTCAGGCTAGAAGTTGCAGACTTATGTGTACATCACTTGATTTCTTTAGGTACTGACACAGTTCAGTGACAGCTTGCTAACAGTCCTAAAAACACCTCCACCAATATAATACATTTTGCACATCCATAAAGCTTAAACTGTACTGAATTATAGGTCAAAACTCTTTTTAGTCAAGTGCTAGTCGTAAGTCGCCTAACATAGCCATGAGAACCTTTTATTGTGTGAACACAGACAACTATGAATATACAA